ATCTCCGTCAAAAAGGGGCATGGGCCCAAACCAACTTGGGGTTTTTCACTACTGACTATTCCCTACATGATGAAAATAGTCTGAGTCGAAAAGCTTTTAATCACCTCGAGAGGTTCCCTCGTTAGATGCTAGTTACGCTGCTAGGAACACCTACCTTTCCGTATCAGATATAATAAAATTTCGTCTTTACAAGTTGACCCTTACGTCTCACTTAAGTCGAATGAGCAGTCATTAATAGAAAAATGCATTGTAGAAGTACGTTTCATGGGTGGTAGTCTCCATACTACCAATAGCGATTTCACAAAAATAAACAAACATCCATTTTCGTTCAATGACGAATTTTTTTATTCATCTTTTGCCGATTTTTCTGTTTATACGATTTTTAAATTTAGAAAAATGTCGCATTTCTGTTTTCCGTTTCTGAAATTTATCTCTTATCTGAAACGTTTACAAATCTTATTGGAAAGTTTGGATATAAAGACTCTTATATCATCTTATAATTAAATTTTTGATTCTCTGCGTCCTCTTTTTCAACCTATACTGCTCACTTTTACGCCCTTTCTCATTGTTAACGGATTTACGCAAGAAACTCTCTTTAAAATAGCAGATAGCAACTTTTTTCTTAAGACTTACTTTTATCAATAAGTGACAGCTCACTTTTTTTATGCCTTATAGTTGTGACACCTAACTTCTCTTTCCAAATAAAATAATTAATACTTTTATTTATAATAAGGAAAAGTAAGAGATTTATTTATAATCAAAAAATTTTTCTGCAAACATTTCAAAAATATCGTACTGATAGTCCAATAAATCAGAATTTTTTACACCTAAAGCAGTGGATATGATTGTATACCATGTCATCTAAACTATTAAGTTTGATGTGTGATTATTTTACGTCTTTTTACAGTTTGTATTTAATAAAATAACATTTTTAATTGCTTGCTTTTTGCTTTTCATTTTTGTCCTTCTCTACTGATTATGTGTGGTTTAATTCTGCTTTCGACTCGTAAACGAAAGAAAGAAAAAAGTAAGAGGTAAAAACGACTCTTTTCTGTCAATGTGTTTGAATTTTCATTCAAGCATGAATAAATGAATCAATGAAACTAGGCTTATAATAATATCGGTGTTGATGATAACTGTTTAAAATAAAATGCTAAAATTATTATCCTACCTATATTCGGTGTTGATTTATGTTCGATGAGACAAAATTTTTGTTTACGAATACATGGTGACTAAGACAAATAAGAACCACATTTAACGATGACGCATTTTGTTAACGTGTCAAACTATAATAAATTTTAAATTTATTTCTTAATAGATTATGAAAATAAAAGAAAAAATATGTTAGTATTATACGATCTGAGATGTTTATCTTTTTCAGATATTTAAATTCGTTTAATTAGAAAATGGATATATTTCCATCATAAATATAAAAAAATCTTTTAGTGATTTCAAGAAAATATTCTCAGTGATTATTTGTTTCTTTTTATCTTTCAAAATTGTAAGATTATAAATTTTTTACTTGTATATTCTAATATTTTTACTTTTATTTTCAGATGATTAATCGTTATAGCTTGCCAGGATCATTTTATATTTTTTGTACAATATTTTATTCTTTACATGTACCAACAACATGTTTTTATATTCCGGGTGTGGCACCGATTGATTTTGAACAACATGATCCAGTAGAAGTTAAAGTAAGAGACAATCATTCACATTATCTAACTATACACTACTCTGAGAATTTTTCTTTTTTTACAGGCGGTTAAAATGACCAGTACAAAAACACAATTGCCATACGATTATTATGATTTACCCGTACATTGTAAACCAAAAAATGGAACAAAATATAAATCAGAAAATCTCGGTACGAATAAAAGTTGATCAATGATAATAAAAAAACAAAAACAAAAAAAAAAACATCTATAATTTTTCATTTAGGTGAAATTCTCCGGGGTGATCGTATTGTAAATACAAATTTTAAAGTATGTTAGAGATATTATATAGTTTATTTTTATTTTTAAACTAAATCTTCTTTCATTTGCAATTAGATTGCAATGGATAGTGATTCAAAATGTCAAGTTCTTTGTAAACAAGTACAATTAAATAAACAACAAAGTACAACAATAGCTAAACGAATTAAAAATAATTATTATGTTCATCTGTACGTTTTGATCAGTATATTTATATTATTATATCTAAGATATTTGAATTTTGCTTTTTAGATTAGTCGATAATTTACCATGTGCAACAAAATTTCAAAATGTTGAAACACGAGATGTGCTGTATGAACATGGTTATCGTGTTGGTGTTTATCTCAAAGATACAAAGGTTGATCATTAATAAAAAAAAAAGAAGATATACAAGAATTTAATAAATTTTTTGTTATTATTTTTTCTTATAGCAAGTATATCTAAATAATCATTTAATATTAAAACTTTATTATCATCGAGAAGACGAGTAAGTTAAATGTGTGAAAAAAAATACAAGATCTATTTGTTATTACTACTATTATTTTAGTAAACATTATCGTGTTGTGGGTTTTGAAGTTGAACCAAAGAGTGTTGATTATAAAAGAATAACTATTGACGATGAAACCTGTACAATTAAAGATGGTGATAATGTGCAAAGAATAGAACCTGATAGTAGTATGTCTTTACATTTGAACATATTTTTGTTTGATTAATATGTTTCAACTGTTTTTCAATTGTAGATGACAATAAAATTATTATGACATATGAAGTTCAATGGCAACCAAGTGAAACAAGATGGGCATCAAGATGGGATACCTATTTAGCCATGACTGATGTTCAAATTCATTGGTTTTCAATAATTAATTCTGTTATTGTTGTCTTTTTTCTAGCTGGTATGTTTTTCACTACACGTTTCTATAGACAAGAAAAAACAAAAATAACTCTTTCTTCTATAGGCATATTATCAATGATTATCGTTAAAACATTACGACGAGATATCGCACGATATAATAAAGAAGAAGATGTACGTATATTTTGACAATAAAATTAGTATAAGAGTTTACATAACGAAATTCTTTTAGTATGAGGTTTATTAGTCATCTGTCGTGATTGATAAACTATATCTTCTGTGATTTTTCGCTCATTGAATATCGATTTATTCTTCTAAGCATGTAGAAGGCTTTTTAACAGCAGTCAGTCTAGGATGAACATACAAAATGATCGGTTTTGTGGTATTATTTGTATAAATATACTATGTGTTTTGCTTTTGATTTATTTCTTTTCTTTTCAATGTGTGTCATTGTGAATTTTATTGCGTTTTGATGTGTTTGGATACATTGACTATGTTGAAGAGTCATACTTTAAAATCATTTTACTATAATACGAAAAAAACGAGCAATTGACATTTTTTGATTAAAAAATTCTTCTTTATCGTATATTAATATCTGATAATTAAAATAATGATATTTCTTTCCTTTTTAAGGAAGATGGAATTGAAGAAACCGGTTGGAAATTGGTGCATGGTGATGTTTTTCGTCCTCCAAAACGAAAGAATGTTTTAGTAGCTTTACTAGGCTCTGGTGTTCAATTATTTCTTATGTCATTTATTATCATTGGTAAGATTTAGCTAAATGAAATTTATCTATTTTAGTTCTATATTTCATCTTTTCTTTCTTTTCATTGTAGTGTTTGCTGCATTAGGAATGTTATCTCCATCGTCACGTGGGGCATTAATAACAGCTGCTTGTTTTCTTTACGTTTTCATGGGGTATTGTGTTCGATTATTATAATTGATTATTTATGTTTTAATCGTTCTTTTATTTTAGACTTATAGCTGGATTTTATTCTGGTCGTATGTATAAAACTGTAAAAGGTTCAGATTGGAAACGAACAGCTGCTTTAGTAAGTGTTCTCTTCTTTGTTTGTTTTTTTTTTTTAAACAATTGTTCATTTTTCTAGACTGCCACACTTTATCCATCAATTGTTTGTGGTTTGTGTTTGTTAATTAACTTTTTTATCTGGGGTAAACGATCATCTGGTGCCGTACCATTTCCAACAATGCTGGCAATTTTAACCATGTGGCTAGGAATATCTTTTCCACTTGTTTGTCTTGGATTTTATTTTGGCTATAGAAAACAAGTAAGAATACTCATTCAGTTATTTTTACGTACGTTGGGTGATAAAATAAATTACAAAACTTTGAGAGTATCGATAATGAAGTTTTCTGAGTATTTGTACTTTCGTGTGCAATATTTTTCATTTATTTTTGCAATATATAGATTTGTTGTAATAATTTTTAAAGCCAAAACAACAATATCAGATTATTAGATTTGAGAGAACTTATTTGTATGAAGTTCTTTCATTCTATTTTAGCCTTATGAACATCCGGTAAGAACCAATCAAATTCCTCGTCAAGTTCCTGAACAAATGTGGTATATGCATTCTGTTCTTAGTACACTCATGGCGGGTAAGCTTTAGAATAAAATCAATTTTTTTTACTCTCTAATAATGTGTTTATTACTAGGTGTTTTACCATTTGGGGCCATGTTTATTGAGCTATTTTTCATCTTTTCGGTATGTAATTTGTTATTTTTTTTTAAACATCAGTCTATACCCGGTTTGTTTCTATATTCTAGGCTATTTGGGAAAATCAATTCTACTATTTATTTGGTTTCTTGTTTTTGGTATTTATCATCATAATTATATCTTGTTCACAAATTTCAATTGTTATTACATATTTTCAATTGTGTGGTGAAGACTATCACTGGTGGTGGCGATCATTTATTGCATCAGGCGGTTCAGCATTCTACGTATTTGGTTATTCAATATTTTACTTTTTCTCTAAAGTAAGTTGACTATAGGATTCTGTTGTTGTTGTTTTTTGTGAGCTATACGTAACTAACCAAGAAAAGGTTACGTACAAACTATAGCTGTACAGCTACAGGATCCAAATTTCACTTAATTAGAGAGTTAGTAAGAAAAGTTAAAAATAATTAGATTCGTGAATAAAAGTTGATAAAAGTTCATTTGTTGTTTATCTTTTTAAAAGTATCTTTTACTCTCATTAACTAGCTTGATATAACGGAACCAATTCCTTCAATGTTATATTTTGGTTATACAATTTTAATTTGTTTAACATTTTGGATATTGACTGGTACAATTGGATTTTATGCATCGTACATATTTGTTAGAAAAATTTATGGAGCAGTTAAAATTGATTGAAAAAACAAAAAAAAAGAATTATTTTTCGTATAAACAATCTATCGATTTATTTATTTAAAATCTCTGATACTAAACTCATTGAATAAACTCGTCAATTATCTTTGTGTGGAGAGAAGAGGATACCGGTCATATATACCTCTTCTTCTCATCTATTTCTATGTGTGAGATTCATTTAACAAGAATTATTTTTTAAAATTCAAAATTCTTATTTGTAGTATTATGTATTTTATGGTTGAAGATAAAAAAAAAAAAAGGAGAAATATTTTTCTGCTTTTTCTTGTCGTCTCGATGTATTTGTTTTTCTTGGCTCTTTTTCTTTCATTTTTATCCTACAGTGAAAATAATATATCGAAATGAAAAATACAATGGACGCTTGCATACACGTTTTATCATTGAATTGTTGAACTTTAATTTCATCTCTTGTTGTATGGTATTCTAAAGTAAAAATTTCATATTCTCACTTATTTGTTTATGTTTTAAAAAGTCAAAGGTCCCCATGTATAGAAACATCTAACATGTCGTTTTTTTGTATCTTTCTCTCTCATAGTTTGTTTGTTTGTTTTTTCTTTTGACGTAAAATATGCATATATACTTATAGAACTATCTACAATTATTCTATAACTATATTTTCTCATATTCATCAGTATATATATAGTTGAGAAAACTTTGGTAACGGAATAACTACCCATCATTCACGAAGTTCATGAGAATTAGAAAAATTTAATTTGCTTCTAAATGTCAACAAATCAGTCTATTACTTTGTCATATTCGTGCGTCGCTCGCTCGTCGTTCACTTTCATATATTGTCTATTTTAGATGAATTAGATTTTTATTTATTATTTAAAGTATCCCATGGTGAATACCATTAGCTTCCATCGATAAGTATTTATACAGTACTTATGTTCTATTGTCTGAATTCTTTTCAATTTTTTTATTGTGAAATGTCAGTTATGTTTCGACTTTGAGTTAAAATTGCGTTTAGATTATTGATTGCTTTAAGCTATTCATGTGAGACGATACTGTGTTGACCGTTATGTTTGGGATATGTTTTTAAAAATAAAGCTACTAGAATAAATCAGAAATTTGAATAATATAGATATTAAAAATATAGTAGTTATTGATATTATACTACAAGTTTGTCTGAGACCGCTAATTTCTTCGTTTACGCAGCAAATAATGTAACTTCAATTATCTTTATTTGCATTCCTGTTTGACACATGATGGTTATTCATGTCCTGTTTAAACCCGAATATTCTAACTGTAATGGAAGGAAAAGAACCGGATAAAAACAAAAGAAGAAAATCATTTTATCTAATATATACATCAGTTCGGATAGTAATAGTGATAATAATAGCCAACATCTTTAAATCTCTCAACAACTTTGTACGATAATTTCATCTTAAATTTTTTCTGATATATCAAAGGTTGGTTAGCTAAACCAGTTTTCTCTTCTACTGCTTCACAAGAATTTTCATTGCCATTCATATGACTTAATAAAACTAAAAGCTAACTACCATTCATCCCAAAATATAAGGCCGATAGTTGTTTTTTGAATAACTCAAAGACAGTAAAAGATAGAGACTTGTGGCTTTCAGCAATCGAAAGAGGACAGTTTAGCCTTTATTTTCCTAAGCAAGACCGTT